ACCATGGTCAATTACATGGGAGTCCAGCGACATAGCCATTATGCCAACTGCTGGTCCCAAGTTTTCAATCCTTTCAGCAGATACAAAGGTATTTCGATGTACTTTGCAAAATAGAAAAGTGAAGTGCCTTCTCCCTCTGCTTCTAATATTTACACGACAACAGCTGCCCTCCGGTCCAGTCTGCACCGTTTAAACATCGTTCCACTTAGAAATCATGATGTTAAGTAATAAAAAGGCACATATAATTCCGAATGGCTGTCTGGCTAACAGGAATCTGACTCACTATATGGTATGTATTTGTGGGCATTAAAAGTCTTTGGTTCAAAAGAAACAGTAGACTATTGGGAACCAGCAGTTAGCGTAATGGCTATGTCGCTGGACTCCCACGTAGTCGACCGTGGTTCGTGTCCCAGACCCGGTGGCTTAAAACTCACGCCGGGCGCGTGTGCGTGCGTGCCCAAGATCCCGAGAGGAGAATGGAGGAGAAGGGATTGCGGCGTGGCCATCCCCCCTGGGGGGTGATTTCTCGCTTTCTGTCTCTCTGTCTGTCTCTGTCTGTCTGGCGAGCGCACGCGCCCTACAGTGAAAATCTCTCCAAAAAAAAAAGAAAAGAAACAGTAGACTATTGTTTCTAGAATCGTTCCTAAGACAGAATGTCCGTTTCTTTTTCTTTGTTTAATCTGTACTTTAATGTGCACTTGCCAGAGAGAGACAGAGAGGGGGAGAGGAAGCAGCTCCCCGGGCCTGTCCACGCAGGAGTCCCGCCTCTCTCATCTCATTTTTTTTTTTCAAGCTACCAGGTCCAAGATTCAAACCACACCATCAGCCATGTGGGATCCAGCTTCCTTAACGACCAGGCCAGTGGCCGGCTCTAGGACAGATGTCTTACACTCACAGTCTCCTAGTAATCGTGAAGACTCCTTACGTCACCCTGGAAGCCGTTTTGATCGTTTGTCCACGTTTATTAGTTTGTCCTCTGGTTCGTCAGTCCCTGTTCTCATGGTGCCCGGTGACTAGAGCAGTGTGTGGGTCTCCACGTGGGGCCCGTGCTGGAGCATGGTCGTGGCCACCTCGTTCTTGCTGTGTCAGCGGGCGTGGACTCTTCTGGCCTTAGCAGTTTACCCTGTGGATTGGCAGAGGTTGCCACACGGTTAAATGGGTTTTCTTTTTAAAAAACTGAATTTTTTTTTTTTTAAGAGAGATTTTGCTATAGGGTGCTTGCACTCAGAGAGACAGAGATAGAGAGATGGCAAATGAGAAATAACCGCCCACACACACCATGGGAGATGACCACGCCGCAGTCCCTTCTCCTCATTCTCCTCTGAGGATTTTGGGCGTGCACGTACACATGCCTGGCTTGAGTTTTAAGTGCCTGGGTCCAGGACTCGAACTGAGGTCAGCTCCATGGGGGTCCAGGGACGTAATCATTACGCCATCTGCTGGTCTCCAAAACGGAAATCATTTTGCTAGCTGGGAATATGGAAGCGTAAGTGCTTTGTGTCCTGACTCTCCCGTAATTCTTCTCGCTTGTGTCTCCTCCCACCGCAGGAATAACCTGACTGTCCTGGACATGGTCGCCGTAGAAGGGTTTGGAGCGCGGGAGCTGCTGAGAGTAGGAGGACAGCTCCCGGGGACAGGAGGGTCGCTGCGGTTCAAGGTGCCCGAGTCCACGCTGATGGAGTGCCAGCGACGTGAGTTCATGTGTGCGGCGCTCAGCCGGGGAGGCTCGTGGGTAAAGCCTGGGTCTGTGTGGGGGAGATTCTAGATTGTTTGGGCCCAGCAGGTGGCACGGTGGTTAAGGCAGCTGGGTCTCACGTGGCCAACTGTGTAGTTCGAGTCTCGGAATCTGCAGCATGCGTGTGTGTGCATGTCCCACATCCTGAGATGAGAGTGGAAGAGAAGGGATAGTGGCGTGGCCATCCCTTTTGGGGGGTGCTTTCTTACATGTTTTGTTTCTTACTCACTCTGGTGAGTACATGGGTCCTATAACAGGATTATAAAAATGAAAAAAAAGGTTGTTTTAAGAATTTATAGTGAGGGTCTAGCAGTTGGCATAATGGCTATGTTGCTGGACTCCCATGTAGTTCACCGCGGTTCGAGTTCTGGACCCGGAGGCTTAAACTCACGCCAGGCACATGTGCGTGCATGCCCAAGATCCTGAGAGGAGAATGGAGGAGAAAGGATTGCGGTGTGGCCATCCCCCCGGGGGGGGTGATTTCTCACTTTCTGTCTCTCTGTCTCTGTCTTTCTGGCAAGCGCACGCGTCCTATAGCAAAAACCTGTCCAAAAAAAAAAAAAATTATAGTTAACTAGGGCCGGCCCCATAGCCTACTGGTTAGGGAGTCAGACCCCACATGGCCAACTACAGTTCAAATCCTGGCCCTGGGGGCTTGAAAACACACTGAGCTTATGTGCCGTGTGCCCCAAATCCCGACAGGATGGAGGAATGGAGGCGTCATCGGGATGTGCTCTCTCCCCCTCCGTGTCTCACTTTCTGTTTTTCAAGCACACACACTTGCCTTTCGGGCAGTTACAGTTTGTTTTCTCAGTGAATTCCTTATATTCATGCAAATAGGCCAACATTTCATTTAGAGTAACAGGTTGGTACAGTAACCTTAGGTATATAACTGCTCAGCCATAAATACAGAGGAGAAGAACGAAGCATGGTTGCTGCATCGCCAACGTAGTGTCAGATGGTTACAGTAAATACCCAAGCCGGGTACCAGCTCCCTGGTCGTAGGTGACCGTGCCGGTGGCGATGGAGGGAGGCCGAAGCACACTGGCCCAGGGCGTCTCGCGGTGGCACACAGCCTGGGCTCTGCCACCCGGGACGGCAGCCCCCAGTCAGAGGCGGTCAAGGAGCTGGCGTCACTGGCGCACTTGTTCC